GATTGCAGTTATTCAGTGAGTGCAGTGTTATCTGTATTTGTTTAGGTCGGATAATAGTACCAGCCACAATTAGCTGTGCTACAGAAAAGAAGTTAATGACAGAAATTATATCTAAACCGGAAACCTCCGGCCAATTGTGAGCTAGCACAAAATTACAATAAGATACAACAAGGGGCCATCCTTACCCAACTACAATATAAACACGCAAAAAAACCTGATTTCTTGTCCAAATACGATGTCATCTGACCGCGATTTGTAGATTTTGCCAAATACAATCAATAGACTATATTAGAGAGCCTTTGATGCTCGTGTCAATCGCACTAACAATAAGCAGATTAGTTAGAGTAAACAGGTTCTTTGCTTTGGTTCGCTATACGACCGGATGGCTTTGTTCTGGATTTATGAAAATCCACTATTTCATTGCGGCCTGACACGAGAGAACACGAAAAAAATAAACGAGACCAGGGGGCGAACTACAAGCCACTGAGACAAACCTTCACATAGCCTCTGTACGGATTCATGGCAACGCTCGTAGTTCCTTACAGCTGGTTACTCGCGTCGCTGTTTATTTCTATTGTAATATTGGTCTAGAAAACACGATAACAGCTGACAAGGTGGGTTTTCGATTATAGCTATTGTCGTTAATACGTAAAAGACCATAGTCGTGGTATATGATACGGTTTTTCGATATTCCTTCGGCTTGTTCTGTCACTCCCTGACTTATCTAAGGCAAGATAGTAATAGCCAGATCATTCATGTCGTGTACGTTGTTCCTTTTTGGCTTTACCCTCTCACTGGCCTATTCGTTATCACTGGCTGTGACTTTCTACGATATAAAACATACCCTGCGTATCAACACACATATGGTATATACACAACCTCACTACTCGCTACCTGGTGCTCAGCCTGCCTTAAAGAGCACGTTTTACTCGCGCATACGATGCCGTACCTAAACATTGCTGAGCCTACTCATTGAAAAGGCTTCAGAAGAATTGGAAAAGCTACCGTGAATAGGCTATAATGTTTGAAATACACCGGCGTTGGTAATTTCGACTAATGCTATTCTCCTCTACAGATCCGCTATTATGTATCGACATAGATCGATTGCTAGTTATTCGCGTCACCTATCCTTTGGCTGTCTGGCGGGCATGTTTTGCCATTAGGACTGCTCTTCGTGGCCGTAACAGGTAAGGATAGGCGATACATGGCTGTCTGCGTTTGCTCATATCGATAGGTCTTAAAACTAATCTGCCTGCCACCACTTCCGTGTTCTAGCGAAAACTCAATTAGCATCTAGTTATGCAGCAAACAGTGCCCTGATAATGTCTTAGATATATACGAATGGTTGTGGGAAGAATAGATTGCGATTTGTCTAATTAACGCCTTGATCTTTTGTCTTATGATTAGACTTAAAAAATCATGATATCTATGGTTACATAGAAAATGGTGTGTCTTTGGTTTTTTTTTTAATACACTTTAGCCCTATCTATCTCAATAACTGCCCTCGTCTTCTGTCAAGTTCATTGGTGTTGAGTTGCCGTTCGGACCGATAACCATTCAGACATTCGCTAGGAATTATCTATTTTATAAATACGTTATCGAATCACGCTGAGCGTATAGCATCTTCTTTAGCGCAATTTCTCTACCGCTATGATACGTAAGAAATGATCACCGAAATAATAAGCGTCCTCGTGTTTCGATTCAACACTAAAGCTGTGTGTGTAGCACGATGACATTGTGCTAATGTACAAGGATGCTCATTGACGGCGGAAGATCAGTCTAAGCAGTTACACCGCGTGCATAGGGTACCGGCCAGCGCAGGATTACTTGTTAGGGATTTGCAACAGCCTGAAGTTGGTGTACGTTTGCAGCTGCTGACGATAGCAGCAGCTTCGCCTTACAACGAAGTGAGGATAGATTTCATTACGAGTTCATTGAAGAACAGCTATTGTTATTGGATATAGAGAGAAAAGTGGGCTGCTTAAGCAGTAGTTCGTCATTAGTTGTTAATGAACGGCCCAGGTTATTTGCACTATCTAAATTATGATACGATGTAGCCGGGTGACATGGGTATATCGCTGGGCTAATTTTCACATGAAATCGTAGAAGAAATGAAAGTATCATGAAAACAGTATATTGTATACCTTATCGCTGGTGTACGACTTCATGAAGACTAATCAAGCAACTGCCTCTGTATGTGTTTGGGCAGTGCCATAGAAAGGAGACGTAACAAAATCTGTGATCGTTAACAGGTTGGTGTTTCGGTATTGTTCCAACCTTCTGCTAGCGTTAGTTCGAAATTTAAAATCATAAGTTACAAAAACTAGCTCTAGATGAGATGAACGATGACGATATCAACAGTGAAAGACCAAATGGCTGTTACTGCAGATGATGGCCAACACTCAAGGACATGAGTCTAATGTAAAAACAAAGTTTGAAAGGCTTTGAGCACACGATTCCCGAGTGACTTATCCAGCTGCTCAAGCACAATTCGGATATATGAAAGTACAGAAAGAAGGCTAAATTTGTCGAGAAGGAGTGTGCTGTCCAAGATAAAGGTATAAAGAGCGAGAACATTCTAAACGATCCAACAATCCACTTTGAAAGTAGCTATATAGTGCTGCTAGCGTTGCTTTCCTTCGTGAGAATCGTATTCTTAATAGCTATGAGTTTCAGTATTTTTAATATCATTAGATATCTATTCGTATACGTTTATTATCTTGAATATCTACATATTTTCTAAAATCTGCAAATATCAGCATCAGTGGCTATTATCACTGACCGCTTGTCTTTAACCGCCTTTTGTTTCTACGGTTCGAACCCGACTAAAGGTAACAAAAATAAAAAGCAAAAATGTGTTTTACGTCAGAAGAGGAAGTCTTTTAGGCCGAAGGAATAAGCTAGACACTGATATTTTTCAAGCATAACTTTCTAGCATAGCAATATAATTTATGAAATAGCTATTTTTGTAATTAGCAAAAAAAAAAGACAAAGGTCTGGCATCACTCAGGACGATCCTGCATCGGTTTCTGCCCATTGCTGGCGCTATCCTATCGTTGCACATTACGATTTGCACTATAGTTTCGATATAATAATAACTAAATAGGAGAAAATATATAGTTTAATCGTAACTTTGCTATTATAACTTATGTTGTAAAGTAAATATATGTGATTATTTGTACGGTGGTTCTGGATACTGTGTCGTAATACCTCAGCTGCTCATTCACTACTACTGCCCGTCTAGGTCCTTTTCAAGTCCACCTATACTAATTGTACTCTCTCACGATTCAGTGATAATAATAGTAATAACGATAATAATCTCTTTTCTTCGACGCTTTGTTCCAGGCGAGTGGCAGCAGGCCTAGAAAGGCCAAAGATTTCTGTTCTGCTTTTATTATGAGGACGATTCAGCGTAGCAACGGTAAAACAGCGCTTTCAAACATCAACAAGAACAAAAAAAACCGTGGCGCCACCGCATCGTAGTGGCAATCCTGAAAATAGATCCTTCATGGTAGACGCCGATGATAGTGGTCCCGCAGTGGCACTGTTGAAGCTTGGGGTAACGACGGTCAATGATAAACGGTCAATGATAAACCTAATGCGGTTGCCATCATTATACTGCCATCATGATGACCGCGTTGAAGATCTGTGCGAAGCTGGAAGAACTCGAAAATCGATGGGAAAAAAGAAAAGGGTCGGTGATTAATAACAAAAGCGGTAAGAACGACTAATGCAGCGCATGATCCCCTTCCTCGAATCCGTCGACTGTTTCGATTAGAGTATAAACTACCACAATTACGATCCCGATACGGTACAATCATGTAAACTAATTCCTACCGATGCTGCTAACGCTATGCCGTCATTAGTCGGCCGATTATTCTGCCCTATACGTAAGTGAAGCGGCATTTATAGTGACAAAACGGCAACAGCCATTAAATATGTCGACAATGGTTGAGCCATAGTGATACTGGCGACACTATTCACGCAGGTCATGAATTAAGGACAAATTGACCACAGATTCAATGAGCGCTCGAGCTCGGACTTGAACAATAAGCCACATAACGTTCGTGACTGCTGTCCTACACAATTTTTGCTCAGGCAGTCGTAAATCCAGCCAGTCAGCTAGTAATTAAAAGAATATAATTAAATAACAGAGCAGATGGAGCGATGAACACAGGGCAGGGAACGAGTGAGCCAGCCACTTGGGGCTCTTCGAGCCACACTCAAAGCAATAACGTTATTGTCATACGAGAACATTCTATTTGGTCTTCTGCTACAATTAGATGATCGCTTTGCTATTTGATCATTATAGTTACGTGAAAACGTCAACGTCAACGACTGCTCCGCCATGCCCTTAATCTCGCTGTCGTTGGTAATGTCACTATCCACTGAGTTGGAATTGTTGTCAATGGAGCCAATCGACTTGATTCATTCAGAATTGTCGCGATACACCGTGTTGTCCTATGCGTTTGTATGTCGGCCTATTAGCTTCTTCCCTCCGTAACTACTCTTCTCGTTTCTTCGCTGTGACGTAGCGATCATCGTTGTGGTCGGTGCCGGCATGCACGACCTGAGCGCTTATTAGATTCGCTTTTTGTCCATTTACAATTAAGAATGAGCAATTATTTTAATGATTGCCACCGTTATCCTTATCGCAGTACTATTATTATTCTTATCAGTGGCGCGGAATCTTTGCGATTGCTAGCCGATAGGTTTATCTCACGCCTAGGATAGAAAACAGGCTGAGCTTAGACGCGTCCAAGCGCTGTCGTATTATACTACCCGCTAGGGCACACAGGACAGACAAGTGTTACCGGTTTCTTATTTCTTTTTCGTAGTATTATCCGCTGACTTCTGCAGCTATTCAGTGATGAGAACAATTTATCTGTTCTCTGTCATTGGCTATATTTTGTGTTCTGTTTCATCGTTAGCTCAATTTGAGAAATTCTAGCCATCTATCCCACCAGTTCACGAGCACAGCCTATATGCATACACGAAAAACGACGATACTCCACCAGCTAATGGCAATATCAAAGGTGCATACAAAATGGGCTGAGAGACTCTTCGTCCAGCCTATCCACGGCGTCTGGTATTCGCAGCTTGCGTATGACGGTGACGGCGCGGATCGGTGGCCGCGTACGGGCCAGTGACACCACTGCCACTGAACGATACTCGACGTTGGCAGGAGTTGGGCTTATACTAAGTATATTCACTACGGTTAGTTTTTTTGACTATAGTAAAACAAAAATTGAATAGTAACCCTATGCACTCTTTCGATGGGGAGGGCTGAGCGAATTAGATATATGAAGATAATACGTAAACACACGTATTACTTTAGTTCCTGTAGCAAAGGCGCATTGTTATTGTATTACATTATTATCTGTTGCAAGTTGTTGTGGACGTTTGGCCTCAGAGTGGGCTAACACCGCTGCTATATACAGAAGAATTATTTATGTCAAATTGCTGATCATAAACGCAGATAGCTGAATTATTTCCGAGCGAGTCTATCGACCACACTCGTACAAATAGACTCAATTTACATTATACAGGATTTTGGTAGTTAAAGGCTGTCTTATCTGTCCGTATCTAATAAACGTCTAATAAACAGGTGGGGTAATCATAGTACGGACTGGGTCGAATAGGGACGCAATAATTACGAACGTGAGCTTGATCATGAAGTGCCAGTATTCGAGCTCGTAGCGTAAGCAAGAATCAAATCAATACGGTTAAGATCGCTCTTACCAAGTTCTCGAAGCGTCGCACTGTAATTACTCAGATAAAAATAGTACGGATATAAATTAATCGTAGAATGTGAATTGAGCACTTATTCTATCTCAGCCTATTTTTGACTATTGCAGAATACGGCAGTGGTATCAGTGGAGCCCATTGATAGCCTGGGCTAATGTCAAAGTTTTGTCCAGGGAATATGGCTAGCCTTAAACTATTTATTCATATAATATAAGATCCTCTTAATCTGATGGTTGAGGTGGGACACAGAAATTAGCTCAGTTAATGGTGTTCTTATTTATTTTCATCTTATAAGTGCCTGTTGACCCAATAGAGTAGTCAATACGTTTGGGGATTTTACAGTTTTATGTCACCATAATAGAACTTCCCACTTCAACAGCCGGACTTCTGCCGAAACAGCTAGAAATCGCTAAATTCGGCCCCACTAACTACATTCTATCCAACGTGTGTGATTTATTAGGGTGGAATTAAAAAATAGGATTCAAGTTTTGTCCGCCTACATCCTTTCGATGTTTATTATAGCCGTGTTCCTATGATAACCTAAAATTATATTAAACAAAGACATATGATAAATACGCTCGTCCGAAAGGACGAAAAGCCCGTAATTGACGGACTAGCTGGGAAGGAATACAGGAAAGTCTTTTCAAAGCCGTCAGTCTCAACCAGAATAAAAGTCAAAGGCCACATAGTTTTTAGTGTGTCTCCTTTAAGCACTTATATATACCCAATCCCTTAGTAATCTCTCTAAAAAAACAAATCATTGTCATTGGTCTACTGCGGCTTCAAGTTCATCCATTCAGCTTTTAGCGGACTATAATTATGTAGAATATCTGGCCGTATAGCTCAGATCGACCCCATTCGTTCATGTGTTCGTACGTTCGCCATCTACGTTTTCAAGTCTAATAGTTTCTAACGGACCAACAGCTCGTTGTCGGCATCAATCAAAATGGTTACTCAGACTGTGCCCTTCTAACGTATCTCCGCATCGTATCATCGTGAGGAATCGACTTTCAGTGTCCGAGGCCCATTATGAGCAGCACCGTTCCACAGCGCAGCTCCGGCCAGTAAATGTTTATGCTTTGCCATAGTCTACGATAGATGCGCGCGCAAACGGCCTCAAGCGGTTTTCGATCGGCACTGTTCGTTGTTTTCGAACAAAGGCGAATCGTTACCCTTTTTGCTATCTCAGCGTCCGCCTCGTCAGCTGGCTGTCAAGGTTTGCCATCGTTTCTAATGTATGTTCTTAATATGCAAGCGCCCATAATATCCACACACGCGACCCTTTGTCCAGTCACAGTATGGAACTATTGTAATGTACGACAAAAGCGCTATAAGTTCTTATGGCTGGAACCACACACGAACGCTTGTTCAGTAGCGATAGCAACTGAGCCGGACAGTTTTCCTTTGCACTATTGTATTCTATTGGCCTGGTTCTTCAGCTTCTCTTGACTGAAGACGGTTTTTGATTCTTTTGCTTTGCTTATGTCTGTTCTATCGTGAAACTAATTAAATTCTCTGCTGGCACCGCATCGGTGACGTTCGTCGCTGGCTAGGGATCGACGCGACTGTCCGAAGACGAACAATGCGAAGCGCCTTTGAATTCTGCCATATTATTGGATACCGTTTCCGCTTTAGCAATTAACGCAATTGTTGCTAAGGTAAGGTTGTCTTCCCCTTGTACTGCTTTCTACGTGGGCACGCCGCTAAGTATTGGATGCATTCACGTACGTGCAGTGCGTTTCGTTGCGCTAACGACAGCAGGTGCTGCTGCTGCTGACACAGTAGATGATGATTGAAATAAAGCATCGGGCTCACCACAGCAGTGGTGGGGTTCAGTGGTTGGCGCTAAACGAAGTGGGTAACCCTCAGGAAGAAATGGTGCATTGGGTCTCTCTGCTAGAAGACCGTTAGTAGGAAGATCTTCATTATCTTGTTCGCGCCATTGTATAGTAGTAACTGGCGACGCATAGGTAAGAACGCGAATGCAACACCGGTTTACCTTAATACTCTTTCTCGTTGTGCACCAGATTAAGGGTACAGATATTATCTATATTGAAACCATTCATAAAGTAAGGCCAGCCAACGCGGAAGATTAATCGCAATCAGTAGTAGATAATGTATATGTAAGCATTTGGATAAACAGGAATGCTTGTGACGAAAGACAGTCTCTATGGGCACTCTTATGTGGATGTCGATACTCGCTAGTATCTCTACAACGTTATAGTTAGTATACGGGGTGTTTTTTTCCCTGTTCGTCGAAGTTGGCCGCTTTACAATGGCTCATATGGATTCATTATTCAAAAATTCTATGTTTATTCGATTGTAATCGAAATGTTTCCACCGGGGAACTAATCATCATTGTCACGGCTACATGACCTACTTAACTAACGATCAAAAGATACTGCTTAGTTATACGTCATCTGATTAGCCGGTCCTGGAAAGGTACACAGGTCAACGGACGTGCTTCGTGGAAACACATAGATGGAATAAATATCTATGATTTATTAAATGTATGGAAATGTTGTATGGTAAAAAAAGAATCACCGTCGGTGCAATAGCGTGGATATCTTCTAACGATCATTTTTGAAATTCGCTATCTCGCTTCGTGAGATTTTTCGTAACTAGCCCATATAATATTCGCTATTGTTTGCGGAAAGTATATCGTCGACGCTATACGATATATAGTTCACACATGTAACATGCTTTTATTATATTTGACAGAAAAAGATCTGTCAAAGAGATAAAAATAATATAAAACAGTTGAAGCAAGCTGCCATGATGCACCGACAGCGCTGCACAGCTTTTTCAATATGGCTAAACAGATCATTGCCATGAAAGTAGCAGACCCACAGAAGGAGCCGTTAGTTAGGTTCAGAAGACAAATTTTACTGGTTAATTTTTGCCAGCGACAAAATATCAAGCTACCAGTGCGCCCGCCAAGTGATTTTTGCTTCTAACACGACAAAAATTAATTTTAAGAGTAAACATTACAATTCGATTGAAAGTAGGTAATTAAAAAAAAAAAAAAGATAAAGAAAGTCATATTCCTTTGTTAGCATGTACAGCTGTTCTGCTTACTTTTGGCCAAGAATGATTTGCTTTTGTCTGTCGGCCTTCTGATTATCATGTCCATCTTTACATTAACTAGAAGCTGCTTATCGGCTAAGTAAATCACAGACACACAACTTAAAAACTTATTCTAAACGATGGTATATCGTTTTTCAAACACCTAATTGCCAATATCGTTATCCCAGGTACAGCGGGATCCTCAAGTTCTCACAGCTGAGTGGTATTGTTTATTGTTAAGATCATTTCCCCAATATAAACAGTCGTTCGTTCTGTAGACAGTTATCGTTTCTAAATACATGTCATTTGGCAGCTCTCCACCGTTTTCCGCGTTCGTTCTAGATTCAGTTTGCAGTCTCAGCACGACAGGTTTTCAGGCAATAGGTCGAGGCAGGTCGGGCCGTCTCTGAGTTCGTGAGAGTTGCTTAACGTTCTTACATAGACGGGTCTTCACCAGGCTTCTAATTGCACCAGCGATATACGTGCCATACAACAGACAGAATAATTTCGGCATATTCATGTATTTATGTTACCCAAATTTCTAACTGTGTATAAACCTTCGCGGCGCCAACCCTTTTCCCGCCTTCGTTCTTCATCACCAACATGCTTCACAAATATCCGTCGTCGAAACATCTATCCATAGTACATATTAATAGTAAATAAGTGCAAGGACGCCTGCAACAGCAGCAGTCATGGCAGTAACGAAGACAAACGCTGCAGTAGTAAACGGCAGAGCTTTAGTCCTGTATCACTTTATCCTAAAATGAATGATTCGTTTATGTGTCCAGCCGTCTAATAGAGTCGTACAAATATATATATATATACAGCCGATAGTGAGGCACTCTCGTGATATCGACCGATTGTGAAGTTTCTACTTGTTGCCAAACGACATTTGCCGGCCAAATGGTTACGGTCATTCTTAGACTGCAAAAGAACCCGGGTCGGGTCGGCTTGTGGCTACGCAGGAAATGCTGCAGAAGTCCGTTGTCCGTTCGAAGTAACGATGGGACAGTCGCAGCACGAAATTGTAACGATAAACTCCTCTACGTTTGTAATGTTTGCTTCTAATGACGTGACACTACTGCCGTTACTCCTACCATAGATCAGGGAAATGAGCGCGTGCGATCCTATAGGGTACAAAAAAAAGTTTATTTTTCTTTCAACTTATGCCGCTTTTTATTAGAAGTTTAGAGAAGGCAATATGCATATCGTGAACGTAGCGCTTGTCTGGTGGTATCGAAACAGCTGATCAGGAGGCGCGGGGGTGTTAATCAATAAGCAGAGTTATAACACGCAAATAGTAAGCACATATCAAGTTAGAAAATGGCCCGGAAACAGGGTCTTTTAAAATACCGATTTCTTGCGTGTTACAAGTCGATGTATATTCCTTTTTCCTTGTTGAATACTATTCAAAAAGTTATGTAGAATTTACGTATATACTGTGTGTAAGGGTTAGCGAGTCGCTGCGAATTTGTGAATGAGCATCTCACAATAATAGGTTCTGCCAAGAAGACTTCCCTGTCAGTTGAAACGACTTAAGCAGATAAACCTCATTTCCTTCAGCGCCTATAGAATACTTACGTTGAAAATGAAGATATTTCCTAAGCACTACATGGTAGCTATGCGTTGAATAGCAGGCAACAAGGATGTCCATTATCACCTTAAGCAACCTTAAGAATAAAGATTTGAACATGTTTAATTTCTCGTATCTTATTCCAGTTTCTATTCAGATGCCTCCACTAAGCTAGTTGGTCAGCCAAGCAATCAGCTGATCAGACAAAGTTCGAAAAATCAATTTAAATATCATAAAACACCTATCAACGTATGCGCTGACTACCTTACGTGTACACAATGTAGGCGAAACATCCCATGCATGTTGCGTCCTTTGCGCCAACAAAATTCAATACATTATTAGTATAATGGCCACGGCCAGAGATGACGATCGCGCAGTATACGACCAAACGAAAACTAACTGCTACATACTAATTTGTTGTCTTGCTCCATTGTTGCAACGAATTGTTATATTACAGAAGTTCGTGCTTACGAATCCGTCCCGTTACCGGATATTCCATTCCCCAATTGGTCCATGTATGTGTATGCATGAACGTTTTCCTGTGCAGTTTGTAGCGGTACGAGTTATATATACGCTACGAAAAAGCGTCCACAGTCAAAACCATACGCATCATCCTCGCGTGACCCAGCTAACGTCAATGAAGCCGTCTATGGTGGCACAAAAAAAAACTGACGCTGGCTGCTGGGCAAAGACTGCGCTTAAGACCGGGACACCAGTGGAAAGTGTTAATGCACCGATAGATGTAGCAGGACATTGATGATTCTATCGCTTTTACGCTTAAAGTATCAACTGCTAGTTGGCCTATGGATAAACTTGATGGGTAAAACCTGTCAGCTTTGTTTGTCTGGATTCTATTACCGAGCAATAAGTACAATAAATAGAATAGGCGATATAACATTGTTTAGCCGTGTGGTATCGGGGTCCTGCCATGCGTCCATGTGTACGGATTCGAGGATACAAAATGATCTCAGACTATTGTTCACAGATACTGCGCTGATGACGTTGCCCAACTGCTATGTTCACCCGTACCCTTCTCTTAGGATAGCTTTTGTTTTCGCTGATACCTGATTTGGTTTATTTTTTTTTTGTACAATTTTAATTGCTGCCTGTCGTGTATAGCGCAGCTACACATACGGCACACATGCCTATCGAATAACAACTGTTCTATTCATACGTCACTTTTTCAGCTTCTCAGGAGAGACGTTCTAGGAAAATTTCTTATCGATACTCAGCCTTACGAATTTCGTAACGAGAGGACGTTGAAGCGGAAAACGGCAATTGCCAACACACAGCAGGAACCATCGGCAAAATTGGACGTATCGATGACTTCGACGAACGCTGTCGCACATGGTGTACACAGGTGGTAAGTCTTGCCTGCTAGCTGTGTGGATAATCAGTCAATAGTCGAAGACATAGAGCAGCATCGATGTGCGTGGTATGTACATACCTGTATACATATGAGACTGCATATACGCAAGGAAGGAACGCAATAGAGACACTTTTCCGTCCTCAGCTGTCGTTCCTCAGTTGAGCATAACAGACTCATATCGCATCACATCCAATCAGATCAAAGTTTTACGGTCGTTCTATTTGAAACACCTAGAGTAGGCAAGAAGATAACGCGATGCGACAAATCTAACCGGCAGCGTCTCTACATAATACGCTGGTAATAACGCCTTAAGTAACAAATGTGCGTTGTTGATGATGATATTCGTCGATTGTTGTGAGGCGCTGTCTTCGACGTCGACGTGAATACGTGTGTCTCGGTCTGTCTGTACGTGTATACGTTGATCCAAGTTATTGGTTCGATAGGAAGGGCTCAATGAATAAATCAAACCAATAACAGAAAGAAATCTTGAGGAGGTGACTCGCACTGTGATAAATAATGAAGAAAAACGTCATTCATGCACACCGTCACAATTGGCATCATTGACTACGAAGGCGCCACAAAACGTTTCCTAAACGTATAAGTAAGAGAGTTAGAGATAGCAAACGATTACATAAACATACTGTATGTAACAGCTGCAGTACGATACCTTGTAGATAATCTATCTGAATCTGTGAATTTTCGCTACGAGTAATAGGCTAGAATAGTAGCCTAATAGTTAAGGGGCTGATTACTGTTATCGATTAAAATCAGATTCTTATGAACGTGAACGTTATCATCCGTGAGTGAGTGTAGGACAGGTAATCTCATCTGTTGTGATGACGGCGGTACGGGATGCAACATACTGGTCGCCTGCTTCGTTCGCCGGTAACTTCGTCTAGGGCAAACAAGAAAAAGCATAGAAACATTTCGATTAGCCCGCCGTCGCTGCCGTCCAACAGAGTTGCGATAGTCAAATGAGAAAGTGGAAAACATCTGGGCCTCGAAGGACAGGATGGAGAGACCATCTAGGCTAAAGACTATGACTTTTGTTGTAGTTACTGTTGTTGTTTTGACAATTGTAAACCCAATCCGTTTAGTTGCTATCTTGTATCACTTTTCTGCTCGGTGCTTGTGTAAGTCATTACCCAACGAGGAGATACATGGAACAAATAGAAGGGAGATTCTTTGTTCCGCATCTATTTTCGCGCTTTTCAACCTTGACGTATTCGATATCGTGTTGTTTTTTCCTGGTATATTTTAATAACAAATGAAACTGTAGCAGGTATTCGTAGATATGATTAGTGTCTGTATAGTAATCGGTCGTGAGTCGACGCGAGCTTGCATAGGGGATTGAAACTACATGGTGTCACATAGAAAGGCTATCATGCCCGTGTTACGAAAAAAAAGGGTCCAGCATACGCATGTAATGCAATGTCGCAAAAGTAAATCTCAACGTTTATCTCTGAGTCGAAAACAGCCTGTGAGATACTCCGATACCTTCGTAGATAAATTGGGTGAAAGGTGTAAATCAATAGAATATTTATTACGGCCATTTATCACAGCGGGCAATTCAGTGAAGTCGGCGAAAATTCGGGTTCGGATGATTCGCGATGGAGACGGAGCAGTTTCGAGGCTCGCACCGATCCCGTTATATTTCTCATTTACCTTTTTTATGCCTGATAAATATTGCATTACGATAATGCTCTCGGACGACTCCATCAAATTTCTGGCACCTATGACGCTCTCTTGACTGGCAATGCCAATGAATAACTTATTTCCATTATGCTTATTAATATAGAAAAATTGCACTCTGACAAAAATGAATCTTGCTAGACTAAAGTAAAATTTTGCTGTCCATGTATAGGTACGTGGACAGTGCAATGTTGCTCAAGTTTCGTATAACATGTTATCTTGTGGCATAATTTTCAATGGAAATAGAGGGATTTTTTTCGGGGGAATACAGAATTATGACTTGAAGTTAGTTATCTGTATACTTTTACCATGCTACACCGTACAATATCATACATCACAGTGATAACAGGAAGACAAAGGTGATTATCGTTTTCCTAAGCTATATTTACCAATGTATATATAAAAGCTAGCGCGCATTTTTTACGATCTCATACATTTGTTCTAGTAGAAAAAGACGCGCGAGTGTATAAGGTTCTGCAGGGACCTGTTGTTAACTTACAATGGGTCATAAGGAAGGAAATCGTGTTAAAATAGTTTTTTATGATTACACTAACGCTCGCTTGAATATAAACAATCTAAAAAGAAAGCCCAGCTATATAACCCCTCCTTGAGAAATGCTACAAAAGTTATTCCGGACGACAAGCCTACATACACTATGAAAATAATCGTTATGAAACGATCATTAGATAAATTATTTTTATGAACTTTTTTTCAGGAATTTCTTCTATAATACAATCTGCATAGCCATTGTGGCGGACCCCCTGTCGGCAGATGCATCACCGGCTTGCTATCTACTCCATTGTAAATAGCCTATATATAACATCGTAATTTAGAAACGAGCAGCTGATACCGCGATGAAAGTAAGCCAGTATCAGGCGTCCAGTACTCGTGATGATGCAGAACTAACGTACTAAACATAAAAACACGTGAACTTGTCTAGATCGCAAGCTTGACGTTAACAAACATGCTTTGTTTCCAACGGAACGGGAACGGCCAATTTTCTGACGCACTAATGTTTACGTAAGCCATTAATACCTGACAGTAAATTGTACGTCTATCAGCTTGTGTAGATCGTGCTTCGGGGAAAAAATACGCAAATTAAATTTCAGCCTATATGTATCATTCGGTAAGTTGAATTCCAAACTTAACAGAGCTGTTACGTGTTTTCCAATTACGTATTAAGCGAAACAGACCAGAACCGAAGGAAACATGCAATAAGAACATGGGAGCTCCGATTATTATTAGCGATCTAATTAATATTTCAACAGCCAGATGAGACAGCAGCGAAAGCTAGTTGACGTGACTTCCATCACCACTGCAACGGGCCTGCTATAATCTTCATGAACACGTATTGGATCATCAATGTTTTATAGCATCTCTGTACGCATTATTACTATACCGTGACGAAGCAGCATCACATTCAATTTATCATCAATTCACTCACTTCTTTAGGATTCTTTATTTTTTGATCGACGCCCAACTATTGCTTATAGCTATTGGCTATCTGCTGGCACACGCTTACCAAACCCTCTCATCTTACTGCTTTAAATATCTTCGATAAAGCTCGACATTATATTACCGCGACGTTAGCAATTATATTGTTCTTCCTCATAATGAAGATACAGGCCAGAAAAAACTAACGGCCAAAGGAACGTTAACCACTGTGTAAGAAGACTTACGTGAACTTAGGTATTATTGCGCTACCCCAACCACAAGGGAATTCTGGTCTCTTGTAAAAAGGTATTAAGTTCGCCACCCGACCGTTGGGTTCAATTCAAATAACAACCGCGACGCCGCCGTCTATCTTTAACCATTTTCTCGTTCCGTGACTAGTCAACCATATGCGTCACTCGTACAGTATAGGACATACATGCGCGACGTGTTGTTGCAGCCGGCACTACTTAGGCGAATAGTGCTTACAGCCCCTGGTACGAAACGCACATTTCATTTTGTGTGTGTGTGTTTAATGTAATCTGGCGTTCTTTACATGATTTTTGTGCGTTCCCTTCCTGCGTTGTTCTCCCAGTATACCCGGCAATTCAGCACCCTACTTGTTTGCAGAACGAACTACACTTATCGCCTTGAATATCACACCGGGTGATAAGCGTGGAAGCCTGCGTCGTCCGACCAGTCATGTCTGGTAGAGGGAAATTTCACCAACGTTGAAATTTACTAGAGACATTGGCACCGCCACAGCTGTATTTTGCTATGCACGATGATCGGTTTCAGTAAAAAAGAAAAAAAAAAACCAAGTCAGTGAAGTGACAGGGTCTCGTCAACAACTATAGCGAAGACGATAATAATCACAACAATGCCACTATATATACATATATTACGTACGTGTTCGCCAGCAGCCCGCCTTCGCCTTAAGATAAATGTCACGCTTTTAGGTAACAATTCCCACCTTGTCCTTGGATTTCGACGGCGGCGGCGGCGGTCATTTATGCATTTAGCTGTAGGGTCCACACCGATTCTTCTATCTTAGAGAAAGTAAAATACGTATAGGCCTTGACTACTGAAAGGAGACGTATCGGCGGCAAGTCAGCGTGTGTTTCCGAACCATGACACACAAATTCAAGAAGATAAATAGAAAGCATTTTAGACATCACCGAAGAAGCGAGATGAATTGGAAAACCTGCTTATAAGCTAAGGGAAAGTAAGTGCGAAGGAAGCCCATAAACGAATAAAAAAATAACAGGTACGTTTCGTTAGCCTTTGGTCCCACCCTGTGGCCTTTGAGTCAAAAGGAAAAAGGGAAAATACGGATGGTCGCCGAAGATGAAGGCGAAAAAGTTCCCACAGTACACAAGCAGACGGCAAGGCACATGCACACAGAGTATCACCTCGGGCAGACCTTTTTTTACAGTCAACAGTTAAAAGGACAGGGTACGGGGCTTATATAGCTGTGCATAACATCTATCAATCTAGGCGTGTTACGTATACACCGAGAAAAGTTAAATACAGCCAGAATACACAGAAGTCAAAGTAAAACGAATCTTTCAGCGAGCAAATCTCTGATCCCTCAGAAAGTCGGCCACGGGTAAGCTGAAAATACGTAAAAAGGCCGCCCCGTTTGATACGTGCAGTTAACCACGAGGAGTGCGAAAAAGACCAGTCAACGGGTTAACTTTTGCATAGCGTTTGGTGACAATTTTGCGATTGTCCGAAAAGATAAATTGATCTAATAAGCATAATCTTCATTCGACGATCGTAAGGGTCGCACATGATAGTTCACATGCCCGTATCCTCATTAGCTGCATACAGGAGGTGCGTACTGTGGTTGGATTCGGCGCTACGAAATACCCCATGCCGAAGTAATGCAATATTGATTTATAGCGACTGATGAGAATTCCAGTAAAGCGTTGTTCTCATTCCTTATTGCCACTGCACATATGGCCTGAACGTTTTTAATCCTTTTTCATTATTAAACCTGTTTTAGATAGATCTGCCAGTTCAGACGAGGCTGAAGAGGGCAGCGACTACGCCATTATATTTGTCCCTTCTAATTCTAAAAGAACGTTTGCCAGTTCATATTCTGTACCAAGGCTAACTGTTAGTGACGAGGAACGACATGGGAATACTAACTAAGCGTTACGACACTTGTTCGACGATGATTGTTTTCGGATCATTTCCTAGAAGATATCGATTATTTGACCAGAACAAGCTACAACTTCAATGGAAGATTTACATAGATTGAACTTGTGTACTGTTAGTAGTCGTCCGGTAAGTAGTCGTCGTTCGAGGATCCTTCATATCAGCGATCGCACATCAGCAACGGATCTAGTAATTTCATCTACTTCAAAGGTTTCATTCGTGAGCGCCTGTATAAAACTTACAAAAAAGTTAGTTAGCATCTTTCGCCAATCTTCATTACAACATAACAATAATATTGTCCTAACCATATACACGGTTTGGCCATCAATCCATTTTACTGCTAAGTACAGCCGGTCGTTCTGGATGATCGGCTAGATAATCGCTCGCCCTCCATGCTGGGGCGAATGTTACCGGCGTAAATACCTATAGGCAGAAGTCATAGTCGATGCCAGTGACTCCTGTTTTCTTTAACTTTACCAATTATCCTCTATTAATTCTTCTGTAATGTACACGTGTATGGTTTCGTTGTTGTTTGATTTACAACCGTGAACGGAAAGGCAGCAGCCTAAGGAAAAGCACGCACGCAACACGGGACGAACTTTCGTAGTTGTTGCTTAGTTTTTCATGACTGTTGCCAGCTTAATTTTATCATGTAGCGCAGTAGAAATTGCGTATACCCGGTGTCGTCGGTCCGTCATAAAGGGAAATCACATAGTATGACCTTGCGTCGTCTAAATTTAGAAACTTAGCGTAAGTAAGCTGCCGCTTATCGAGTCACACGGAATGGGCTGTCATTGTACTCGTAGCTAGTTGAAACGCTGTGCTACAGAAACCTGTGACACAAAAATGAAAAGCAATACAGCCTTCATGAACGCATACTAAGAGTGTAAAGTCAATTCATTACGTGGACTTCCCCTACATCGTTATACCATTGTTCAACTGTATTCGAAAGGATTAGCAGTGGTAAAGGCCTAATGTTTTCTCTCGCTGTGCCAGTTTCGTCGTTTTTTTTTTGCTTCCAAGCAATTCGACGTTTGACTCAGCGCTAATACGTTGTCTTATGTTAAGCCAATGAATCACCGAGAGCCTAAATCATGTCCATTCGGGCCTATTATGTGCACTGTTGTCCTGCAGCTCATGAGCCATACCTAGCTTTTAGTAGTTTTGGCACATGAAAAAATACCTACCTGCCTACTACCTGAGTATTCTACGAAACAGATGCTTAAGTGATGCAAAGAAAAAATTGTGTTTTATAGCTAGCATACACTTTCGACGAATAGACTCTAAATGGAATCCATAGCGAGTAGAGAGCCGTTCGATTCGGGTTGACAACAGCCATTCTTTAACGATATCTGTTGATGCTACAGTGGTAATGTGTTTACGTAATGTATTAGGAACACGTAACGTTAATATGTTGTTTTTTTGATACTTTGAAGCGCCAGCTATAGCAAGCGGCAAGTAGCGGACGCCAGGTTCGAACCATCAAAAAGATAAAGACTGAGAGCTTACAAACAAGAATTACATAGATGTTTAGTTGGAATCCGTCTCTTATGCTGAAAAGCTTACGGTGCAATGGTTTGACTAAGTAAAATTGTATTGACCTGCAGGCGATTGACTTCGCGTGGAGTGTACAGTCGTTATAACGTTTATGTGTAAAAGTAACGCACACCACCGATTTTTTCAGATAAATATTGAACGAAACATCCCGACGCGTCAACTTCGCTTGAAAGCTCAAACAGACTTCTTGAAGAAGCTCTGGTAAAATATAGTAGATGTCAAACGTGTACGCGGCGATCCAGCTCGAAAATACGATAAAGTCTCACTTTTATGATCCATAAAGCTAAGAAAATCTGGTTGTCGCTGACCTCACCATCAATCATCTTCTAAGACTAAATCGCAAGATGGTGTGAGGCGGTAATAATGTACGTAAGGTAGCTTGTCCTATCACGAATCACGTTTACCGCAGCTTCGTCGCTGAACGAGCATTACAGTGCTTAAGCAGCATCTTATGTTACGTACTTATAAGCACACAAAGGGCTTACGCGCAACAACATATAACTTCACATTAAAATTGCCAACTCCGTTGTTCTCTGCCTAAACGGGCTAATATTAACATATGTGGAACTAACGAAGGCAGCGCGATTCCGGTCACGTTTCATATGTGCCGTGACGGCTCGAGCTTTGTCGTGAGCTGAAAATGTACACTAATTCTTTTAGCATCCCTACAAGTTCGTTTATTACTCTGCTACTTCTTTTGTATCGTCTAAGTTTAGAGCGAAATTTTGCTCTTTATAAGAGAGTAAAGGTTCAAGCTTTCTTTCTATGAGTATATATCAAGGTATGCACACGTTGCTGAAATGGCTGCATCTATCGAGGTACTCAGTCCTTGGTAGGTCTTGGTTTCTATCGAAACGTTGGACGCAAAAGGTCCCTCTATTAAACCGTTTTTATTAGACTAATGAGGACCGCACCTAGAT